TACAATGATGTGAGTATCCTTCATGTTCCTAGTGAAATTCATATAGTCTTGCTTCCCAAAAAGTATCCTCACCCAAGCAAATGTGAAATGCAATTTTGACCTCGCCTTAGTCTCCTCAGCACCGCTGCGAGACTCGAACCCAGGTTGTGGTAGTCTGACTCGATAAGCCCTACATTGCTCCATCACGGTTTGAGTCCCGCTATGGCTGCTGCTGTCCAACTCAGCCTGGACTAGACTACCATTTCAAAAGCATTTCTAGCTGAAATTCAGTTGAAGCATAATGTATAATCATATAATTATGGGAAAATTCTACTACCAATTCTTCATCAGCTCAACGAAATAGAATGAATTACATCTCACACATACGAAATTAGCATGTTTTAACCGCAATCGCATAGAGCGTTAACCTGGACGTTGCAGTAAAGAAACCTTACATGAAATGTATTCATTCTGTTTCATTCAGGATGGTGTGATTTATAATGAATCTCGCGTATCCCTGCCTTCCAGGGTGGCCTGAAGCTTCTGTCTGCCCCAGATCTTATTGACAACCCTGGCGCTACTCGATTCACGACACTACAGCGAGCTCGAAACTGCCCTTCACCCCGGATGACAACACCTTCTGAGGAAGCAAGTGAAAACATGTAATATTCAATCGCCCGTCCCCTCACCCTGAACGAAATAAGAGAATTAAATCTCATATTTTATGATATTATGGTAGTCTCAAAAGTCTACTTGTAAAGGAAAAAAGTTAACCGAAACTCGGTCATCTCTTCATTACACACGCTTGAACTGGGAATGGAAGTAAGATCTCCAATTCGTCTCTTCTAAAGTTGACATGTACCAGCCTTGGCTATTCTACGACCTGACTGCAGGTGGCCAATGCAATTTGATCTTGAGCTTTACCCATTTCTCACGGGCCAGCTGTCCGTCTGTCCGGTCCCACAAGATCCCCTCGCCCGGAATCAGCAGGTCTGCGGCCCAGCCTGCCTCCCTTCCGGCCCCAACTTTAATACGTCACTGCGAATGAGTTGTCCTGGCTGTGCTCATCTGTCGAGTCGCCTTACTCTCTCTCTCACACACACACACACATCAGTTGTGCTGGTCCCACTGGTCATTTTGACTTCTCACCAGCCCCAGTCAGTGTGTTTCACACCACCACCATCACCAGTCGGGTGTATATCACCGACACGTTGATAATCATAGTTGTCAGTTGTTTCAGCCCTTCAGCGGCCACATGGTAGTCCCGTGACTGGACCAAAACTGATACCGGGCCTCGAGGAAGCAACAAAGCTCTTCACGACTCAACGGGTTGCACAGTCTACGCGAAAGTCAATGATGCGTATGAGACAATTTAGAGACTCGCGCCCTTCACCCTCTCTCCCGCTCACTTGCTGTCTTCGTCACATCAACATGTTGTCCGTTGCTGCTCGACTCGCACGATCTCGGTCAACTCAAATGCTGTCTCCTCCATCGGCGACACATCTTGATAAGTGTGACCCACCACCCACAAACAACGAAGCACGCCTAAAATACACACATACAGACAGGTGCGGGTCTCAAAGCCCCCGGGGCAGAAGACCCTCGAGGTCAGGCAGCAGGACCGGCCCACTCCCCTCCGGCTTCACACAACAAGCTGGTCAGTTTATCCTAGCCCCAAGGGTGGGTGGGAGGCTGCATCAAAAGGAGTGTGATTGCAGCCAGACGCAAACACTGCCAGACTCACCAAGAAACCCACCTAACAGGATGCATACACATAAGCAGACACACATGTATATACGCGCCATGTGTGTGAATCCCACCTCTCCCAGTGGACCCATTAGCCTTGGGTCGCCACACCCATACACCTGTTCGAGACGGCTTCCACTTCTTCCGGTGGCGCGATTATGTCTATCCAGTTCAACGGCCACGAGGCCTCTTTCTCCCCAATTGCCTGCTTACAATGTCCCCGAGCCGACGAGGTCAATGTCCCCAAAATCGCAGTCGAAATCTGTATGCCGCCTCATCCTCCGACCAGTTCGCGTAATTACTCACTCTTCACACGATAGTGTCCAGTCAGAAGCGGCCATTTGCTTGTATTTGCAGCAAAAAAGAGCCCCAATGTCTCTTCTTCCCGCCATCACCTGCTGAGCCAGAAGTAGCTTCGACTAGACTAGACTAGACTAGACTAAACCTACTGTATCTACTTTCCTGTGAAGGTCTATTCGGCCGAATGTATCGATGGCACTGAAGCCGACGCGCATCCATCACCATCAGAGACTGCAGCTGTTAATTTAGGTGAGCCCTGTCAACACAAAAGCAAGCTTACCACAATCTT